AGTACATTGCTTTCTTCACAGAGGTGCTGATATGAAAACTTGGAGACAAAAGTAAGTTGTGAATAATGTGACAAAAATGGTTCTTGCTTAATAAAGACCCATTCATGCAAGAATGCGAAATTGAACCTTGACAAAGAATACATACATCTGCACATATGAAAAGCTTCCAGTCGTCAGTGGAAGAGTTCGCAGCAGGGGGTTTGGGCTGAAAGGTGAACTGCTAGAGTACTTAAAAGGAAACAGTAGGCCAGATTTTGTAGGTACTTTGAAGAGTAGCGACAGGAAACTAGCCTATTTAGCAGACATTTTTCATCACATGAACAAATGAACACACCAGTTTCCACAAGATTCTTGACAAGATGCTTTTTATTAAAGGACAAGATTCTTAGACTTAAAGGAAACTGACTCTCTGGAAAAATAACCTTACCAAAGGAACTCCCAAAATGTTTCCACAGCTACTTGAGCTTGAGATGAGAAGGAAGCAGGATAGCAATGTGCCTTATGAAAAATTGCCTGGAGAAGCTGCAAGACCAAGTTAAGTAGTATTTTCCCAACACTAGTAGATGACTGGGTACAGAACCCTTTTGCTCAGCCTGAGAATTTGTCTTTGAGAAGAGAACAATATTGTGAGCCCCAGGCTGATAAAAGATTTCTGTGAGTAAAGAGTATTTTTATGTCTATAGCTTAGTGGTCTTTGAAAGTAAAAAGATGATGGGGCTATGAAGTTAGCGAAATGGATTTATTCTTGTTTTAAAAAGTTAGGAAGTATAAATGTTAAGACTTACACAATTGGCTGTGTCAGTTTAATGGGTAGTGAATATAAGGATTGGTCATCGGGACTAGAAGGATTTGGGTGCCAGAATAGGCAGGTCCTTGCTAATGCAGATAAGGGGCTTTAGAGGCTGGGATTTCTTTAATATAACTTCATATATTTAGAATGTTCTCTTAATTGGGTTGAAAGAATACTATTAGTATCATTTAGGATGGGGCTGTGGATATAGGGTTGCTATGAGTTGAATTCAACGGCGGTGGAATCAGGTTTAGGGGAACAGGGAAGGTAGGATTTTGGTGCCTTCTTCAGCAGACTTACTCCAAGGCAATGTTACTTTTGTTTTGATAGTGAAAGACAAAGGGACTGGGAATAAACTGGGCCATATGCCTACAAAACATAGAACTCTGTTGGAACTGAGTCCTTGTACTTTTGTGAAAGCTGCTACCTACAGAGAGGGTGTTTGGCAAGACCTGTGATGACCAGTGATATTTCCCCAGCTATAAAATAACCATGTTCTGTTGGGATCTAAATTCACTGAGAGGTTTGTTTTCAGGTTTCTAAATGTTATTTTCGCTGACATCTGAGCATGTTATTTTATAAATGATGAGACCCAGGGTAGGAATTGAGTGCTTTTTTAAAAAAATTTTCCTTTTCATTTTTTCCTTAAGAAATTGTCAGTTAAAGAACTCCAATGGTATGGTTTAGTCAACTTGTTTTGCTCTGTAGAGGAAAGAGTACTATATATTGAAACACTTTTCTGTGGTTAAACACAGTTTTCAAATGTTATTTGTACAATATTTTGCCTTTGGTGTGGCCATATATTTAGCTTGTTTGTCATAGTTCCTGATGTTTTTGGAAAAATTCAAATAAATTTCTTTTGTAAAGATTTGTGTTCTGTGCTTTTTCTTTCTCTTGGAAGATCTCTTTATAAGAGATTAAAAAGATCTCTTAATTTGTAAGAGATTAAAAGTTTATGTGTCCAATTATGTAGCAATCAATTAAAAAGTCGTATGTATATGACCCTAAAAAGTAAAGATAAAAATTTTGTTGTTGTTGTTATTTGCCATCGAGTCGGCCCCGACTCATAGCGAC